TCGGCTTTAGTGTTGTATAATTGACAAATAAAAATTGTATATAATTAAGCTGTACAACTTGATGTTTTGATATGTGTATACACTGTGAAATGATCACCACAATCAAGCCAATAATATAGCCATTACCTCACATAGTTACCATTTTCTTTTTTCTGTGCTCTCTTTTTATTTTTTTGGTGTGGTAAGAACAATTAAGATCTGTCCTCTTAGCAGAAGTTAAGGTCACAATCAATATAGTATTGTTAGTTACAGTCACACTGCTGTACAGTAGATCTCCAGAGTTTATTTATCTTGCGTAACTGAAATTTTATACTCTTTGACTAACATTTCTTCATTTCTCCCATCCCCAGCCCGTGGCAACCACTATTCCACTCTGCGGCTATGAGTTTGACAGTTTGACTATTTTAGATTCCACAAATAAGTGAGATCATGCAGTATTTGTCTTTCTATGTCTGATTTATTTCATTCAGCCTAATGACCTCGGTGTTCATCTAAGTTGTTGCAAATGACAAAATTCCCTTTTTTGAGATTGAATATATATATTATATATATAATATTCAATATTCAATAAATATATATATGCATGCTATGGATGGGTTGGTTGTGTCCCCACCCAAATCTCATCTTGAATTGTAGTTCCCATAATCCCCACATGTCATGGGAGGGACCCGGTGGGAGGTAATTGAATGATGTGGGTGGTTTCCCCCCGCTATTCTCATGACAGTGAGTAATTTCTCATGAGAGCTGATGGCTTTATAAGGGGATTCCCCCTTTACTTGGCTATCATTCTTCTCTCTCCTGCTACCATATGAAGAAGGATGTATTTGCTTCCCCTTCCATCATGATCATAAGTTTCCTGGGGCCTCCCTAGCCATGCTGAACTGTGAGTCAAACTTCTTTCCTTTGTAAATTATCCAGTCTCGTGTATGTCTTTATTGGGCAGCATGAGAATGGACTAATACAATGCACATACACATACTCTATGTTTTCTTTTTCTGTTCGTCTGTTGATGGACATTCAGGTAGTTGCCATATCTTGGCTATTGTGAATAATGCTGCAATTATTATGGATATATTTAAATATTCATACTTCCATATTTAAATATGAATGTGAAAGTACAGATATCTCTTTAAAATATTGATTTAATTTCATTTGGATTTATACATAAAAGTAAGATTATTGGATCACATTGTAGTTCTATTTTTAATTTTTTGAGGAACCTCCATACTTTTTCCATAATAGCTGCATGAATTTACACTCCAAAAAACAGCAAATGTTCCCTTATTTTATATTCTTGCTGATAACTGTTATTTTTAATTCTTTTGGAAATAGCCATCTTAAATATGTCAGGTGATATCTTATTTTTGTTTTAATTTGCATTTCCTTGATAATTAGCAATTTTATACGCTTTTATATATACATATTGGTCATTTGTATGTCTTCTTTTGAGAAATGTGTATTCAGGTTCTTTACTCATTTTTTAATCTTTATTTTAACTTCAGGGGTACATGTGCAAGATGTGCAGTTTGTTACATAGATAAACATGTCATGGGAGTTGGTTGTACAGGTTATTTTATCACCCAGGTATTAAGCTATAGTGTCCATTAGTTATTTTCCCTGCTTCTCTTCTTCTTCCCCTCCCACGCCCTCCCATAATGCCCAGTGTGTGTTGTTCCCCTCTATGTGCCTGTATGTTCTCATCATTTAGTTCCCACTTACAAGTGAGAATATGCAGTGTTTGTTTTCTATTCCTGCTTTAGTTTGCTAAGGATAATGCCCTCCAGGCCCATCCATGTCCTTGAAAAGGACATGATTTTGTTCTTCTTTGTGGCTGCATAGTATTTTATTGCGTTTACTTACCACATTTTATGTATCCAGGCTATCACTGATGGGCATTTAGGTTGATTCCATGTCTTTGCTATTATGAATAGTGCTGTAATGAAAGGAAGACATGCATGTGGCCAACAATCATATGAAAAAAAAGCTCAATATCACTGATCATTACAGAAATCCAAATGGAAACCACAGTAAGATACCATCTCACACCAGTCAGAATAGGGTATTAATAGAAAGTCAAAAAATAATAGATATTGGTGAGGCTGTGGGCTTTTACACCATTAGTGGAAGTGTAAATTAGTTCAACCATTGTGGAAGACAGTATGGCAATTCCTCAGAGAGTTAAAGACAGGCCTACCATTGAACCCAGCAATCCCATTACTGGGTATATACCCAAAGGAAAATAAATCATTCTATTATAAAGACGCATGCACGCAAGTTATTGCAGCACCTTTGTTCATTTTTAATGAGGTAGGAGGTTTTATTTGCGATTGAGTTATATAAGTTCCTTATATACTTTGGATATTAACCCCTTATCAAATATATGGTTTGCAAATATTTTTCTCCCTTTCCATTGGTTACATTTTCACTCTGCTGCTTGTTTCCTTTGTTACCTGAAGCATTTTAATTTGATGCAATCCCACTTGTCTAATTTTGCTTTTGTCACCTGTGCTTTTGGTGTCATATCTAAAAACATCATTGCCCAAAGCAATGTCAAGTTTTTTCCCGTGTATTCTTCTGGTATTTTTATGGCTTCATATCTTTTTTTTCCCTCTTTTGTCTAACTAAAATTTTGTATCCTTTAACTAACATTTTCCAACCTTCCTTTTCCCCTCTCCGCTAGCTCCTCGTAACCGTCATTCTACTTTCTACTGCTATGAGTTCAACTCTTTTAGATTTCACATATAAGTAAAATCATGCAGTGTTTGTCTTTCTGTGCCTGGTTTATTTAACTTAGCTTAACATTCTCTAGATTCCTCCAGGTTGTTGCCAATGACAGGATTTCCTTCTTTTTGAAGGCTTAATAGTATTTCATTGTATATAGATTTCACATTTTTAAAAATTCATTCATCTGTTGATGGAAACAGGTTAACTCCATGCCTTGGCTATTGTGAATAGTAAGCAATAAATATAAAAGAACAGATATCTCTTTGACATAGTCATTTCATTTTCCTTGGATGTATACACAGTAGTGAGATTTCTGGATCCAGTTTCTAGCTTTCCATTTAAGTCTTTAATCCATTTTCAGTAGTTTTTGTGTATGGTAGGCAATAGGATCAAATATAGATCTCCTGCATACATGTGGATATCTGTTTTCCCAGCACCATTTATTGAGGAGACCATCCTTTCTTCAATGTATGTTCTCAGCACATTAGTCAAAAATGAGTTCACTGTGGATGTATGTTTATTTCTGCGTTGTCTATTCTGTTCCATTGATCTCTATGTCTGTTTTCATGCCAGTATCATACTATTTTGGCTACTGTGACTTTGCAATATATATTGAAATGAAGAAATATAATACCCCAGGCTGTGTTCTTCTGGTTCAAGATTACTTTGGTTATTCAGGGCATTTTGTGATTCTGTGTTAATTTTAGGATTATTTTTTATATTTATTTAAGAATATTATTGGGGCTGGGTTGAGACAGTGGAGATGACTTAAAGCTAGGAGTTAGAAACCACCGTGGGCAACATAGTGAAAACCCATCTCTACAAAAAAATAATAATAAACAAAATGCCTTTGGGATTTTTATAGGTACTTTAAAGTAATCTATCAAATGGTAATATTCTCCTGTCTAAATAGTTTGTTGTTTGTCACGAATTCCACTTCTAAGAAGAATCCTCATTGATTACTTTTTTAAAAATTAGGGATTGGGGGACATAAGTAACGAATAGGCTATTCTTCCTACCTCCAAAATCCCATATAAAATCTCCTGGAATCATGTAGAAATCTCTAGATCTCAATTTTTGTATGTGCTTTAGGAACCAGTTACACATGCTTTTTAGGGTAGAAATAATTCCTGGACTATCTATAATTTAGACATGCTCTAATTTATAAAAACAAATTTAGCCTGACCTTTAGTGCCCTTAATCAACCAGGTACTGGAGCTCCCTATTCGGTCTTATCTTCTGCACTTACCCTCTGCTCAGTCAGACCAATAAACTCTGTTCTTATTGCAAAGACTCCTGAAATCTACAGTCTCTAATTTTGTTTCTGTGGGTCTTTCTACTTGCAGAATCACCTTCATTTCTTCGAATCCACATTCTATCAATTCTTTTTTATTTTTGAGACGGAGTCTCCCTCTGTTGCCCAGGCTGGAGTGCCGTTGCGCGATCTTGGCTCACTGCAAGCTCCGCCTCCCAGGTTCATGCCATTCTCCTGCCTCAGCCTCCTGAGTAGCTGGGACTACAGGTGCCCGCCACTACGCCTGGCTAATTTTTTTATATTTTTAGTAGAGACGGGGTTTCACAGTGTTAGCCAGGATGGTCTCGATCTCCTGACCTTGTGATCTGCCCGCCTCGGCCTCCCAAAGTGCTGTGATTACAGGCATGAGCCACCGCGCCCGGCCTCTATCAATTCTTTAACATTCAGCTCACGACTTCCAGGAAGCCTTCATACCACATATACTTTCTTCAGTTTTCATAGCTCTTATCTTCCTGGATAGACTTGTAATTTTTAATTTAACATTATAGCTATGGGTTCCACTTCTTATGTACATTACTAAGATGTTATCTCTTTATAAATATTGTCATTTTTATTGGATTCATCATTATGAATGTTTGTCACAACTTTGAAATAGTCATCTTGAGAGTAAATTTATTAAATTTGCTTTTCTAAACATAAGAACAGTGAGAAACATTCTTCAGTTTCCTATTAGTGTTTGCTGAATTAAATTGAATATAATTACAATCCCCAGTTATGCATACTATGGTATGGTTTTTTTACATGATGCATGGCCAATAAATATGTTTAGACTGAAGAAGTGTTAACACTCATCATGAATATCCAACTGAGAACCAGATATTTTACTAGTTTTTCCATATATGCATCTTATTTCATCCAATTGAGGAAAAGAAAAACCCTATGAAGATTAGAATCCTTTTATATGTAAAGAAATTGTGATTAGAAGACATATTGTACTGTCAAACTGTTGTTTACATTCATGTCTATCTTCTTTGTACAGCAAGTACATTAGCTGAAATCATAAATGAAAGACTGACAAAATAAATGTCTCAGTGAATTTCTAAAGACTACACCCCTAAGTCCTTTGCTCTAATGTGCTTTTTAGGGTGACCCTAAGAATGACTCCTGGATCTTCGCCCTGGCTGTGCTCCTGTGCAGCACCTTCGTCTACAACAGCATGAGCACCATCAACCACCAGGCCCTGGAGCAGCTGCAGTATCCTTCCAGGAACAGAACAGAATCACCAAGTTTCATTGACGTTATAGGAATGGAGATCAAGTCATTTCCTCCTTCCCTTTAATTTAATTACCTTTGGTGCAGCCTAGGGAACCCAAGACAAAAGAGAGTGTTTATAATATTTTTTTAAAAGAAATGTGTGAATTGTGGGCAGACAGTTGCTTTTCCTTACCTAAGTCCTAGTTATGTGACAGAGCTCACAGAACTCATTAAGGCAAAGTCTTACCCAAGGCCTGATGGAGTAGAAGATTCCACAGAGTTCGTGAGTTTCTTTCCAGACTTTATTTGGACTGTACGGGATTTCACTCTGGAGCTGAAGTTGAATGGTGACCCTATCACAGAAGATGAGTACCTGGAAAATGCCTTGAAGCTGATTCAAGGTATCAGCAGGTGGCCTGGGTTGTGGGTGGTCCAGTGGGTGTGTGATCTGCTAAACACTGCCCGTCATCTCTTGGGTTTCATTTGTATTAGAGACTAGATTGAGGTCTGTAGAAATGGGGACTGAGGGGTATGTCAAAGAGCTCTAGGAATGGAGCCTAGTTCACTTAAGAAAAGTAGAGTCTACAGTGCAGATAAATTATTCAAGACAGATTTTTTTCTTTGTACAATTAGTACTCTAGCATTCAGATTACAACGGGTGCTAAGACTTTCTAAAAACAAGATGCTTGTGATCCCTGTTTTCCCCTCTGCTTTTCTGTGTTTAGAAAATGACTGACCAGATAATTGTTAGACATGAAATTACAAAGAAAAGCCTATCTAATAAAAATATGTGTGTGTGTTAGTCCACTTTGCATTGCTATAAAGGAATACCTGAGCCTGGGTAATTTATAAAGAAAAGAAGTTTACTTGGCTCATAGTTCTGCAGGCTGTACAAGCATGGCACCAGCATCTGCTTCTAATTAGGACCCCAGGAAGCTTTTACTAATGGCAGAAGGTGAAGGAGGCACCTGATGTGTCACATGGTGAGAAAGGGAAAAACAGAGGGGCGTGGTCCCAGACTTTTAACAACCAGATCTTGTGTGAACTCATTACTACAAGGATGATACCAAGAGTATTCATGAGAAATCTGCCCCTGTGACCCAAATACCTCCCACTTGGCCCACTTCCAACATGGGGGGGGTCACATTTCAACATGAGATTTGGAGGGGACACATCCAGACTACATCAACATGCTACACGGATATTATTCTTATCATGGAAGGATATAACTTTTCAATACCTGTGTAGTTATATCATCTACAAAAATGATTTTGTGTTCTAAAGTCACTTGAAGAAGCATGTGTCTTTATAATTTGTGCCTTTTCAAAATTTCTGATAATTGTTGGAATAGTCATTTTACTTTCTATGTTATGATTTTTCTCTTAAACCCAACATATGTGTCCATGCTAGAATTCATAATAATTGTTTCAATGGGTTACATTTATCTGAGTTTGTATCTGATAAAACCTGATGAGAAATATCAATTCCAGTGTACTCATTGTTGCTTTCATTTTTCTATTTATGCTTTCTTGAAACATTTCTTAAAAATTCATAGGCAGAAGAATAACACTGTCAAATTGAATATGTCTTTTTCTCTTAAGAGTTTATAGAGAAGTGATGATTATCTTAAAACTACATTTTTGGCTGGGCACGGTGACTCACACCTGTAGTGTCAGCACTTTGGAAGGAAGAGGTGAAAGGATTACTTGAACTCAGGAGTTTGAGACCAGACTGGGCAATATAGTGAGATCCTATCTCTGTAAAAACTAGAACAAATCAGCTAGTGTCTTGGTGCACACCTGTATTCTCAATTACTAAAGAGGCTAAGGTGGAAGGATCACTTGAGCCTGGGAAATCAAGGATGCAGTAAGTCGTGATTTTGCCACTGCACTCTAGCCTGGGTAACAGAGCAAGACCTCATCTCGAAAAAAACAAAACAAAACAAGATTACTTTCTTGTTACATTTAGTCTTCAGAGGATTTTGCTAAAAAATAGCTAACACTATACAAATTCTTTTAGCATTCTTGTGTTTTTCTAAAATAATCATGGTATCTTTTTTACTATACCGAATGTTGCTATTTATAATATTTATCCTGGATACTTTATTTCTGGCTCTTCTTTTTGGTCCCACAGCTCAGTTTCTACATGGAATGAAGTGGACAAGAAATTTACATTTGATATTTCATTAATTCAGGCATTCATTTAGTAAACATCTCGTAACAATTACTTTATACTCGGCACTACATTCAGATCCACAGATACTAGCCATGGGTTTTGTTTGTACTTGGATCAGATATCTCCCAAAGTTTCCTGCCAGCATTTTATCACTGGTGCAAGTTTCATGTGCACAGAAGTATTGAACGTTTATGTTAAAGGAGGCCTGTAAGTCTAGAAGATGGCAAAAAGACAATAAACCCTGTCAAAAATACCTTTAGCTCCCTTATACCAAGACTATTTTCACTATATTCTCCGATTTTCTTATCCTTCAGGCAAGAATCCCAAAGTTCAAACATCCAATTTGCCCAGGGAGTGCATCAGGCTTTTCTTTCCAAAACGGAAGTGTTTTGTCTTTGACCGGCCAACACATGACAAAGACCTTCTAGCCAATATCGAGAAGGTGTCAGAAAAGCAACTGGATCCCAAATTCCAGGAACAAACAAACATTTTCTGTTCTTACATCTTTACGCATGCAAGAACCAAGACCCTCAGGGAGGGAATAACAGTCACTGGGAATCGTGAGTTTCCTTTCTTCATTTCTGTGGTGCCTCATGTGTGTTGAATATATTGTATAATGTGTTTCTCAGAATTTTTGTTAGATTCCATATAGAAGAACTATGTGTATACAGGTATCCACACTCAATGAAGAAATGTGTATAATTATCACACTTACTGCAATTTACAAATTCCTCTCCAATATTGCAAACTCTGTCACTGATATCTGTGGCTTCCTCATATCTGAAAAAGAAAATCCTCTACTGATAAAATAACTAACTGAATATAAAAACAGACATATAATATTTTCTTACGGTAAGTCCTATGTGTTCAGTATTCTTTGCAAAGAGAATACAAAAGGTATGTTGAAGTTTAAAAACCTCTAGAAGGCTGGGGGTGGTGGCTCACACTTATAATCCCAGTACTTTGGGAGGCAGAGGCACGCAGATCACTTGAGCTCAGGAGTTTGAGACCAGCCTGGACAACATGGTGAAACCCCATCTCTACAAAAAATACAAAACTCAGCTGGGCATGGGGGAACATGCCTGTAGTCCCAGCTACTTAGGAGGCTGAGGCAGGAGAATCACTTGAGCCCGGGAGGCAGAGGTTGCAGTGTGCCAATATCATACCACTGCACTCCAACCTGGGCCTCAAAAAAAAAGGAAAAAAAGCCTATAAATAAATAAATATTAGCCCATAATTCCCTGAAAATACATTGGTAGCTTCCGAATTAGGAATAAATGCAATATGATTTACCCTGCCTCATCATTTTATCTGTGTAAACTACTTTTCTTGTAATTTTTAAATGAGAATTTGTACTTCCTGTATACCTTCTAGTATGTTAGATAAAGTAGATATTTAAATTTTTTAGCACTGTGGACTGGGGATCCATAAAAAAGAAGAGTCATTATGAAAATAAAAGTGATAATAGCAGAAAGAGATAGGGATGTGGGAGTATGTGTTTGCATGTGTGCACATGCGTGTGTGTGCATGCGTGTGTGTGTTCTCAGAAATGTAGCCTAGGATCCCATTGAGTTTTAATTTCATATTTAGCCCCTAAATCTCCTGGTCCATTTAGGTCTAGGAACTCTGGCAGTGACTTACGTAGATGCCATCAACAGTGGAGCGGTGCCTTGTCTGGAGAATGCAGTGATAACTCTGGCCCAGCGTGAGAACTCAACTGCCATGCAGAGAGCAGCCGACTACTACAGCCAGCAGATGGCCCAGCGAGTGAAGCTCCCCACAGACACGCTCCAGGACCTGCTGGACGTGCATGCGGCCTGTGAGAGGGAAGCCATTGCAGTCTTCATGGAGCACTCCTTCAAGGATGAAAACCAGGAATTCCAGAAGAAGCTCGTGGTAATTTGCGTTAGTCATTACTGTTCATCATCCTTCCCCTTGAAGAATGAAGCCTATACTTGCCTTTATTGACACCAATGCTCATCTGTCACTGAGGAATAACTTATCATGGATTCTCATGAGGGATAGAGTTTCAAAAGACTACATATCCCTCTTTTATCTTCCCTAAACAATTCCGGGCCATTGTTTAACTTACATTCCTCCTTCTTGTATCCTTGTACCATTGAGGATAGGAGCACAGGATGCTACCGCGGCAACAAACCATAGAGATTATGGAGTGTAGTCCCATCATGTCACAGATGAAGAACCTGAAGCTCAGGAAGGTTAATGAACTTTTCCATAGCCGTGAAGAGAATTTTTAGCATTGTGAATATATGAAATTTTGTGTTTCTGATTCCACATCTACTTCACTAGAATGTATTTCTCATGAGGACCACAGTTAGATTGACTCTTCTACCAGATTCTTTAGAATTTCATGTCCTCCCTATGTTTCTTCTGGTGACATCTCTCTACATTTCCCTTGCAGGAAATCACAATGAATAAGAAGGGGGATTTCTTGCTGCAGAATGAAGAGTCCTCTGTTCAATACTGCCAGGTTAAACTCAATGAGCTCTCAAAGGGCCTAATGGAAAGTATCTCAGCAGGAAGTTTCTCTGTTCCTGGAGGGCACAAGCTCTACATGGAAACAAAGGAAAAGATTGAACAGGACTATTGGCAAGTCCCCAGGAAAGGAGTAAAGGTGAGGAATAAGGGGAACATGGGGAAGTTTATAGGATAGAGTGAATGGAGTCTTCAGCACCAGCCATGGGTAATAAGAGGGCAGAGGGATAGCATAACGTCTTAGCTTTCAATGTCCACTATTTATTATTTATTTCTTAGAATAAAAATTTTTATCCCCGAACAAAGAATATAGTATTCAGAAATCCAGGAGAGACAGAACGAAAATTAGCCATGTGCCAAGAGCTGGTGATTTGTGTGGTTAAAGTAGAATCTTTGCATTCAAAGTTGATAAAAATGAGAGAGTATGAAATAAATAGAAAATTGCATACAGAGTCATGATATTTATGGACCTGTGGAAAATGGGCTACCTACCTGGTGTTTATTACCACCACCTAGGTGATGGTAATACAACTAACTCACAATGAGCTATTATTACCTACAGTGTATTGTTAAACTCGTCCCTAGACATTTTAATTTCATCTTCCTAATGACTTTAAGAAGCACCCTTATTTTGGAAATTTTACAGATCTGAATTTATACCCAAGGATGAGTATATAACTTGCCTAAAGTTGTAGCCAGCAAGTGGCAGGAGAAAGCAAGTGCATAGATTAGAGGCAGCATTGCACACTGGAAGACAACCATATATAAGCATCAGAGATTGGGAGTTTGTACACCTGTGCACATAGTTCTGCCTGGCCAGAACCCAAAGCAGGTACAGGGAGGTATTATAGCTGTGGGAGAGGCACGGGAGGCAGACAGGAAGCAGGAGTTGAGGAGGGGCTCTGGTCACACTAAAGAGCCTGCACACTTTGTAGGGGGCCACTTTAGAATTTTAGGCATCAAGCAAAAGTTACAAGACCATAATTGTTTTTGCAACACTAATACCCAGAACATCAATTTTCAAGGAAATCTAAGTGCTTTTTCTTGCTTCCATAGGCAAAAGAGGTCTTCCAGAGGTTCCTGGAGTCACAGGTGGTGATAGAGAAATCCATCTTGCAGTCGGATAAAGCCCTCACTGATAGAGAGAAGGCAGTAGCAGGTATGGGGCAGGGCTCAGCTGACAGCAGGAGGGCTATGTTTATACAATGCCCTCTAACAGATCCAAAATGAGGAATTTCCTCTTCTGTGGAGCACACACTCTGCTAAATCTGAAAATAACAAGGGGAGCTATGATTGTACCTCAGCCAGACAGGCAGAGCCTTTCCCATCACATTCTCAAATGTGCTCTCAATGGCGTGGACCTGGGTAAATTCTGTGATTTCTCACCCTGCTTTTCAGATTTGGTTTAGTCTCTCAACTCAGAAAAGTGGAGATGAATCTTCACCTATTATTTTCTTCTCTTTCTAATACCTTCATGGAGCAGTGGATCGGGCCAAGAAGGAGGCAGCTGAGAAGGAACAGGAGCTTTTAAAACAGAAATTACAGGAGCAGCAGCAACAAATGGAGGCTCAAGAGAAGAGTCTCAAGGAAAACATAGCCCAGCTGAAGGAGAAGCTGCAGACGGAGAGAGAACAGCTACTGAGAGAGCAGAATATGATGCTGGAGCACAAGCTGAAGGTAAGTCTGTCCTTGGCCTCAGCAGGCCAGACGGTCCTTGCCCAGGTACCTCAGGAAGGGCTGGTGAAGGTTACAGCAGTATCTTGGAAGGAAGCATATCACCATTTGCTGCTTGGGAGTCACTAAAAGCCCTGAATTTCTCTCTCTCTCTCTCTCTCTCTCTCTCTCTCTGTGTGTGTGTGTGTGTGTGTATGTTTTTTATTGTTTCAGTAAGACTTGGAATTATTCTCTATATTCTCTATACTTAGATTCTGGAGAGGTAAGGTTGACTATGATCCCTACAAGTCCTTGGGGAATATAAATACGGTTGGAGCTGCTGTTTGGGGAGATTTTAAAAGTAATCTCAAGAGGTTAAACATACATTCCACACAGTGTATTTGATGTGAACGGCAACTGGTTTCCTTCACCAAGCACATATTACCACGAGCTCTACTACCACCCAAACACCCTGAGGTAGATCCATGCTGACATACAACTCTCAGAAACTTCCGGACTTAAAAGGACAGGAAAGGGAAACTTGCTGCAGTTGTCACCCTGTGTGGGTAGTCTGCCCAAATTAGCACACAGTGTAGGGAGAATTCTTGCGTTGTCCATCTGAAAGTTCTCTCATAAGGGATTTCTGCATCAGCTTATAAGTTCCTTTCATTCCTACAATATGGGTGACCGTGCTGCCCAATTGGGACTGAGAATTTATGCAATCAGACCAGTGGCTACCTCCCAACTGGCGTCTTTTGGGCCGGAACATGTAGAATTTGTCCTAATACCTGGGTTAGCACCATAGCAAAACCATAATGTGGGTGAATATTAGTAAAGTTGTAAACTATGCTTCCTCACAATGTCTAGGTCCAAAGTCTCCTCTAATCATTGATAAAATGTTTTTAGGAGTAAAATAAAGGAAGTTTCACACAGGTCTTAAATACAAAATATAAGTCTTAAGAGAATAGAGATTTTTAAAAATTCACTTTCCTTCCTACATTTTCTTTAGGTCCAGAAAGATTTACTTGATGAAGGATTTAAGAAGAAATGTGAGGAGATGAATGCAGAGATAAATCAACTAAAACATATGATTGATACTACAAAAAATGATGATACTTCCTGGATTGCGCATACCTTGGACAAACTTGTCAATGAGCTACCTTCAATATTGTCTGGTCCTGCTAAATTAATTGGTCAGGTTGTCAAAGGTGTGAGTTCGCTCTTTAAATAGCATGAGTTCCTCTATTAAGGATATTATAGATCATACATATATGCTTTGCACTATTTTTGATCCTGATCTGTATGTTTTTCATTTTCATTCAGCAAAGTTTTTTTTTTTTTTTTTTTTTTTTTTCAGAGAGTCTTACTCTATCGCCCAGGCTGGAGTGCAGTGGTGCAATCTCGGCTCACTGCATCCTCTCCCTCCTGGGTTCAAGAGATTCTCCTGCTTCAGCCTCCCTAGTAGCTGGGATTATAGGTGCACACCACCACACCGAGTTAATTTTTGTATTTTTAATAGAGACGGGATTTCACCGTGTTGGCCAGGCTGGTCTCGAACTCTTGACCTCAAATGATCCACCCGCCTCGGCCTCCCAAAGTGCTGGGATTACAGGCATGAGCCACCACGACCGGCCCTCATTTAGCAAAGTTTTAAACATAAAAGGTGCTTGTTAGAGGATATCAGTGCGTGGCCCACATGAGATAGAAGGGATCCATACACACTTTGAAAAACTATGTTCACTTTTAGGAAATATAATTTTGAAAAATCATTTACATACCAGAGGTCCACTGGGCCATTGCTTTTAATGGCAAAATATTGGAATGTACTTGAATGTCCTTCACATAAGATTGGTAAGATAAATTTTAGTATGTGCATGTACTGGAATACTATATAGCCAGTATACAAATTGACAGTGAAGCTCTCTTTATACTAGTAAAGAATGGTCTTGAAGAGATATTGTAAAATGAAAAAAAAAAAAAAAAACCAAGTTGTAAAGCAATGTAGATTATCTTATCACCAAGGAAAAAAATGCAATTATTATATACAAGCATGCAAATATATCTCTGGAAAGATTAATGAAAATCTATTATTATTAGCTCCTTCTGGGAAGAACCAGGTGAATGTAGAGGTTGAAGGACCACATACTCTTCACTTTAAACTCTTGAATTTTGTAAGGAAATCTTATTTTACCTATTCAGAAATAAATAAGAAAATGTAAGAGACAATGCTAATAATGATAACAAGAAAAAAATGGTGAAATTGGCTATCAGATGATGAAATTGCTTGTTGCTTCTAGGAATTCTATCAGCCAGCCCAATGAGGGGTCTAAGACTAAGATCTGAGTACTAGAATGCAAAAAAAATTGAATCCTATTCTTGTTTTCCTTTTGGCCTGGTTTTCCAATTGCTTCTATTTGTTTTGAGACTAAAGCATACACTTTTCTGTGGCCTTTGAAATCTCAGCTACAGTAGCCTCTACTTCCTTTCTCTGAATTCAAGTTTTAAGGTGTTAGAAGCATAAATTACCAAACATTAAGATTAAGCACTGATAACAGGGATCCTGCCAACCTTGTCAGTAGTGGTCTCTTTGCAGTAGCCTCAGATAGAAAGGACAATGTGCCTTTCCAGAACCGAACCCCCTGATGGGGGATGATAGACCCAGACACATAGAGGCCTGGTGTTGACCCTTCATTGTTAGAATCTAAGAAGATTCACTTACAGTAATGAGTGGCAGACAGCTAGGCCTGAATGAATGACATAATTCTGTAGATGGCCAATACAGTGGACCAGCCATAGGGTTAAATGGAAAGGAGAGAAAACAATCAAGTGAAATAAATGCTATCTACCAGGAGGTTGAGAGGTAGCCCCGATAAAGTGTCACATCCATAGCCTTGATCTGAGCAAATTTCAGACCCTGAACTCAGCTGGAGTGGAGGGCAGTACCCCAGGAAAAGGACACTGCAACTCCAGGACCCAAATAAATGATAATGATTTCCCAAGTTCTCCCCCTAGGAAACCTCTGGAGCCATTTACTGGATACCCATATACTAGGGAAATACAAACACTCAAATATTTCAAGGACCCTTGGAATCTGGATCCAAGTTGCCCATGGTACCCAGATCATGGGAAGTCATCATAAAATACCTGTTAAAATAGGAAGTTAGGGCTTCCAGGTTATAAATATAGTCTTGGCCCACATGAACTTATTGCAATATAGTATTTGTTTCAAATTAAAAGGTAAGGTTTGCTTGAAGACAGATACTTATTTTTCTGTCCATCCCCTTGGGAGTATGTTCAGACATAGGATGTGCTAAAGAAGCTTCTTTTATAAAAACAATAGGATGATGCATGAATGATTATTTTCAATTGGCAAAATCTCATGAACTTCCCAGAGATCAGTGGTAATAAGTTGTTTGAATTCTCGACACTAGGTTAAGGTCTCTGAGGTGATTTAAAGGCTATGAGGCCAGGTGCAGTGGCTCACGCCTATAATCTCAGCAACTTGGGAGGCTGAGGCAAGTAGATCCCTTGAGGTCAGGAGTTTGAGACCAGCCTGACCAACATGATGAAACCCTGTCTGTACTAAAAATACAAAAATTAACCAAGTGTGGTGGCACATGCCTGTAATCCCAGCTACACAGTAGGCAGAGGCAGGAGAATCATTTGAACCTGGGAGACAGAGGTTGCTGTGAGCCTAGATTGTGCCATTGCACTGTAGCCTGGGCAACAGAACCTGGGTGACAGAGTGAGGCTCTGTCTCAAAAAATAATATACAATACAATACAATACAATACAATACAATACAATACAATAAAAGCTATGAGAAGAAAAGAAATTTTCCTGGTACAGTGTACTCTCGAACTCATGTCTTACAGTCTCTGTGAAACTAGGCCAAAGATGGAATTTTTTTTTCTGTGCTTTATGCAGTGACTCAGACAAATCTATGAGCTCACACAAATCTGTAACTTCATGTATCACAGTCTCTATAAAACTGTATCAAAGAATTTTTCTCTGTGCTTTATAGAGTGATTCACCCAGATCTGTAAAGAAATGAAGACAATTTTAGAGCTTTCAATATCTGATATTTCACATCAGGTCAAATCTGATACTTTCAAAACTGGATAGATCTATTTCGGATAGCTTTGATGGTGTAATAAGAATCTCATTCAATGTTATCTAAGGACTATAGTTCAAGAAGACTAAGACACTATTCAGTCGGGGCACATTAAGAACACCTTATAAGCACCACTCATCCTTCCTTTTCTGAGCATACTTTTGACATGTTTCAATGATTCAGAGACATTCTAGTGAATCCCATTTTGACAGCAAAGTGGGATCAAGAGACCCCAAGGCCATCCTCAGGATCAATGACTCTTTAGAAGACATGGAACTCAGATATACATCCCATCAGTACCTAATTTACTGAGAGTTTTTAGCATGAAGGGCTGTTGAATTTTGTCAAAGGCCTTTTCTGCATCTATTGAGATAATCAGGTGGTTTTAGTCTTCAGTTCTGTTTATGCTGGATTACATTTATTGATTTGCATATGTTGAACCAGTCTTTTATCCCAGGTATGAAGCCCACTTGATTGTGGTGGATAAGTTTTTTGATGTGCTGCTGGATTCGGTTTGCCAGTATCTTATTGAGGATATTCACATCAATGTTCATCAGGGATATTGGTCTAAAATTCTCTTTTTTTATTGTATCTCTGCCAGGCTTTGGTATCAGGATGATGCTGGCTTCATAAAATGAGTTAGGGAGGATTCTCTCTTTTTCTGTTGATTGGAATCCACAGCCAATATGATACTGAATGGGCAAAAACTAGAAGAATTCCCTTTGAAATCTGGCACAAGACAGGGATGCCCTCTCTCACAACTCCTATTCAACATAGTGTTGGAAGTTCTGGTCAGGGCAATCAGGGAGGAGAAAGAAATAAACGGTATTCAATTAAGAAAAGAGGAAGTCAGATTGTCTCTGTTTGCAGATAACATGATTGTATATTTAGAAAATTCCACATCTCAGCCCAAAATCTCCTTAAGCTGATAAACAACTTCAGCAAACTCTCAGGATATAAAATCAATGTGCAGAAATCACAAGCATTCTTCTGCACCAATAAGAGACAAACAGAGAGCTAAATCATGAGTGAACTCCCATTCACAATTGCTTCAAAGACAATAAAATACCTAGGAATCCAACTTACAAGGGATGTCAAGGACCTTTTCAAGGAGAACTACAAGCCACTGCTCAATGAAATAACAGAGGACACAAACAAATGGAAGAACATTCCATGCTCATGGATAGGAAGAATCAATATCGTGAAAATGGCTATACTACCCAAGATAATTTATAGATTCAATGCCATCCTCATCAAGCTACCAATGACTTTCTTCACAGAATTGGAAAAAACTGCTCTAAAGTTCATATGGAACCAAAAAAGAGCCCACATTGCCAAGACAATCCTAAGCAAAAAGAACAAAGCTGGAGGCATCACGCTACCTGACTTCAAACTATACTACAAAGCTACAGTAACCAAAACAGCATGGTACTGGTACCAAAAGAGATATATAGACCAATGGAACAGAACAGAGCCCTCAGAAATAATACCACATATCAACAACCATCTGATCTTTGAAAAACCTGACAAAAACCAAAAATGGGGAAAGGATTCCTTATTTAAAAAATGGTGTTGGGAAAATTGGCTAGCCATACGTAGAAAGCTGAAACTGGATCCCTTCCTTACACCTTGTACAAAAATTAATTCAAGATGGATTAAAGACTTAAATGTCAGACCTAAAACCATAAAAACCCTAGAAGAAAACCTAGGCAATACCATTCAGGACATAGGCATGGGCAAGGGCTTCATGTCTAAAACACCAAAAGCAATGGCAACAAAAGACAAAATTAACAAATGGGATCTAATTAAACTAAAGAGCTTCTGCGCAGCAAAAGAAACTACCATCAGAGTGAACAGGCAACCTACAGAATGGAAGAAAATTTTTGCAATCTATTTATCTGACAAATGGCTAATATCCAGAATCTACAAAGAACTCAAACAAACTTACAGGAAAAAAAACAAACAACCCCATCAAAAAGTAGATGAAAGATATGAACAGATACTTCTCAAAAAAAGACATTTATGCAGCCAACAGACACATTAAAAAATGCTCATCATCACTAGCTATCAGAGAAATGCAAATCAAAACCACAATGAGATACCATCTCACACCAGTTAGAATGGCGATTATTAAAAAGTCAGGAAACAACAGGTGCTGGAGAGGATGTGGAGAAATAGGAACACTTTTACACTGTTGGTGGGACTGTAAACTGGTTCAACCATTGTGGAAGGCAGTGTGGTGATTCGTCAAGAATCTAGAACTAGAAATACCATTTGCCAGAAATCCCATTACTGGGTATATACCCAAAGGATTATAAATCATGCTGCTGTAAAGACACATGCACATGTATGTTTATTGCAGCACTATTCACAATAGCAAAGACTTGGAACCAACCCAAATGTCCATCATTGATAGACTGGATTAAGAAAATGTGGCACATATATATCATGGAATACTATGCAGCCATATAAAAGGATGGGTTCATGTCCTTTGTAGGGACATAAATGAAGCTGGAAACCGTCATTCTCAGCAAACTATCGCAAGAACAGAAAAACAAACACTGCATGTTCTCACTCATAGGTGGGAATTGAACAATGATTACACCTGGGCACAGGAAGGGGAACACCACACACCAGGGCCTGTCTGTGGTCGGGGAAGGGGGAGGGATAGCATTAGTAGATATACCTAATGTAAATGATGAGTTAATGGGTGCAGCACACCAACATGGAACACATATACATATGTAGCAAACCTGCATGTTGTACACATGTACCCTAGAACTTAAAGTATAATTTAAAAATATTAAAAAATAAAGACATGGAACTCAGAAAAATGTTATGCTCACAGTTACAGCTCATTGCATTGAACAGCTACAAATTGAAACCAACAAAAACAAAAGGGACATGGACCAGAGTCTGACACCAAGCATAGGCTTGCATTTGTGTTCTCCCTTGAGAGTTGCACAGATATTATCTAATTCTCCCACAAATAATGTGTGACACATGTCAACCAGGGATGGTCACACAAACTTTAATGTTTTTATTAGAGGGCAGTCATGTAGGAATGGAGTGCTCATGTGGCTGATCTTATTTGCTCAGACTCCTGCCTCTTCAGATGTCAAACTGGTGTGGTATATCCTAAGACCGCCAC